GATTCCACGGATGAACAAAACGAACCGACAGCAAATGCGAAGCACCTCGTAAAAGTGGGAAATTTTTTACGCCAAAACGATTCGCTAACAGACATATATTTTATTCTCATGAGCATCAACTCACCGATTACAGCTCCCTTCAAAAATAAAATAATATGACAAACTGCTGGAAATATTGCCCAACATTTAACCAATTTTTATTTCTCTTTCATTACACTTCCACTGCGGAACGGGAATCCCGATGTAACACAGAAAATACATTGCTAACCTGCAGCCTGAAATACACTGTAACCAGCAGTGCAATTTCGCTTGGCACATAAGAACGCCAGAACTCAGATAGATGGCAAGAGACTTGTTCAAAAGGAGCACTAAGACATGTTGGAAGTCAATTTTCAAAAGTCGTTGTATCAGCCACCGCTTCTGCTATTGCTGCTTCAGGGTTCCATGGACTTTTATGTCTAATGAGAATAATTCCACAATGCAAGACAACTTTTGAGCACTGTTCGGTAACATTTATCGTTCCGGTTAGCGGACGACAGAACGTAACCAAAAACACTTGATGATGCGTATATGTGCCACACGTTTCGTTTAAGAAGGCTCATTTAAAGAACAAAGGGATGAGTGTTTTGGGGTCATTCTCAATACAAATCATTGTGCCCCCGAGGAAACGGCAACTTCCTCTCGGCGAATAAACGAATGCCTGGGCCAAGGGACCGAACTGTATATATGTGTATATATATATAGAATGATATTAATGGTTGGGTACAGTGGTGAACCTCGTCCTGGCAAAGTGCCATCGTGCTGAAGGCACTTCTAAATTTTTCGTGAATTCCTTCGTTGGCTCAGAACGTTCTTAATGCGATTGTAATAAACCGATAGTTCTTCTACACGCTCTCTGAATCAGTGCTAGTTGCATAAGTATGTTGTCGATCTAGGTTTACAGGAATGAGGCTGTAGAAATCTGATCATTAATGTACGTTGCTTACCGCTCTTTTCAAATTTTATTGTATCTGTAAAGTTCGGTTTTGCTTCCAAAATCGACTAAAATCTAACGGTTTCCGAAAGCTGAGTCTGTTGATTGATCTGCTGTTTTTCATGCAACATTCCTCTGAAACCTAAGGAAGCAGTGGTGACAGTAATCATTCAAAGTTTTTTTGAGAGTAATGAAAAAGCCAAACTTTTGAAAAAGAAAAACTGTCTACAAATTGCAAATTCTGTAATAATTGCGTTAGCTAAACGTAAAAGTACTCTAAAGCTGTTTGCGAGTTAAATTTTCAGGAACGTAACTCTTTATGGTGCTCGTGTGAAGTAGTGATTTCACTTGAAGTCTTTTAAGGAAATGTATAATGTTTGAATGAATTTTAAACAATTTTAATACTATTTTATAAATTACAGTAGGGCTAGGGATTTATAAAACCTAGGTTCAAGGCAGTATTACCCCGTAGTTGAAGCTAAGAAATGCCGGCATTTGTTTATTCTGCCGCCACAGTGGCAACAAGTTAAGGAAATATGCAGATCAGGTTAATAAATGCTTTCCGGAGCCTTGCGGCTTTATTTGGCTAGAATAATTTTTTCATTTTCAAAACCTAAGCGACTGATATTGCCTGCCAATGATTAGTATTTTTGAACTTTCAATAAAGTTTCCAGCTAAACAGCGTAATCAAGAACCCCAGCGAGAGGCATTTTTAGGCACATCATATTTATTCTTTGAGGTAGATAAACAAATGCTCTTTACACTTACTACCATTTAAAATTATGAGTCATTTGCGAAAGAGCAGTCACTTATTGTTCTTGTTCAGAAGCATGACAGTGACTAGATGCCGCTTATAAGCAGTTAAGAAATAAGAGTCGCGAAGTGTGGCAGTTGAAATTTGATTTAGAATTTCAGTGGATTAAAGAAGCATTGCTGAGAACCCAGCTTGAGCAAAAATCTTTTCGCTTTTGTTTAGCAATGCGAATTTTGTAAAAAAAAAACTAGATGTTAGGAGTTTTGGATTGGTGAAGGAAGAAAAAAATATCATTTAAAATTCTGTTAAATAAGCAGCGAAATTCAATTTTTTCTTGCTTCCGTCCCCAGTGACATTTTGAAATAGTTATTACATTCATTACTTCGATTTTCTTTAGTAAGGCTTTGTTCCATTCTGGTCACTCCGGTGGTTTATTAAAGTTCATTCCCTTCTTTTCCCTCACTTCGTGTAAAAAAATCATTTCAAGCCGCAGCCGAGAACTCACTGCGCCGTCTTGTTTCCCCGTAATCTGACAGGATGTAAGTTTTTTTTATTTAATGGATCTTGCATCTGAAAACGGAGATGGCGGAATAGTTGAAGTACTTCTTGAAGAAAGAGCAACTTTACAGCAGAAGCCGAAGAAAAGGTTCGGCTCTTTCGACTATCTAACCACTTCTTGTTTGGATATGCCACGCCTAAGCCGACGTTGCTGTTTTTGAGCCAAACACGTTCTGAAACAGCTACAGTATTCCTGATTCAAAACCATTTTCGCTGAGCATACTTCATTCTGTTTGGCTCGCTTTGGTTGCTTCTTGAAGTTCCCTGTTTTTCTTTATTTCGCATGTAGAATTCATGCAGAGCTTCAAGTGTGGAGCAATTGTGCCATTCTTTTTCCTACTACTTTCAAAATAATTAGATTTAAACGTTTTGTTTTATTTGATTCACCGAGTTGCAGCTGGCGTCTCAGAACGGAAGTGTCGAAGTAGATAAAATACTTCTTGAGAATGTAGTAACTATTACTGGGGAAACCGACAGGATGCTCCGCCAACGTTTCCGGTACAGGTGCTATAAAGGAAAATAACGAAGGAGCATACTAATTACTAGCGCTGTCAAGGTAATCTCTTCGTTGCATCTGGCTTTTTTCTTTCATAGTTTTGAAAACTCCGTTATCAATAGGACTCCTCAGCAATTTTTTACCTGGGACGCGGTACTTATGAGTTTACAACACTTTATTAAACCAAACCTTAAATTTGGATAAATAAACTCTTAAAATCATAATTCAGTTGTATATAAACAACAGTTACTCGATAAAAATAACAGTATAAAAAGAAAGCATACAATTATTTAATGAGAGTAAGAGAAGTATGCGATTTTTGAAATGGCGACAAGCGCTCAAGAACTTGATTCATTTAGAATCTTGAAAAAATCATATACACAGTTGGCTAAGTGAGCTCTGACTATAAATCCTTTTGAGGTTCGTCACTTGAACCAGTAATTGTGACTCACAATTATACAAGGTATTGCACTTAGCTGGACTTTTAGCCGTCTTCAGATAGAACAGTGGTCTTTACATGTAAGAGTTGTATTCATCAGCTATTTTTTCAAGGTATTTGTGGCTGAAGTACCATTTTTTTTTTTCAGCGGCTAACAACATTCTGACACAGTCAAAGCATATCGAACTCGAACTGTTTCCAGTCGAGTGTCCTTTACTCTACTTTGCATGCCCAAGTCGTTTAGAAAAACTTCATTTTTTTATCCCCTTCCCACAAAAAAGTTGAACTTGCAAGGGGAACTCACTGTGTTTAACAGCGGACATGCTAAAGCAGCTGAACCCTTTTTCATGCTGGAAGTAGATTCTTAAGATCAAACACAATTCTCTTCCGCTCTTACCAATTTGATCTTTCCTTCGACCCTCTTGAACGACAATCTACTGAAGCCAAGAGGACCGAGTTAGCTGCGATAGCGTTACTCTTCCAAGGAAAAAATTCAAAGGTTCCATCCCCTTGAGTGTACGCCGTCAAATCTCGCATCTAAAAAACATGTTAGTAGTTAGAATACGCCTCCAAAAAGGGATTCATCGTTTCATGTCTTTTTCCCAGCGCTTTGTCCGCCAGCGACAAGCTTCCTCTGGATTTGGTGCTTTTGTGCATAATGGCCTTCACAAATTCTTCCGGCACTTTGAGCTGGAAAACACTTTGTTCGACGACTGTGTGATGCAGAATAAACGTTGGAATTTTTGCTGAAT